AAACACGTTTGAAGTTTTGTTGCCATTAAATGTTTATATTTGTGGTTTGGATTGAATTAAAAGACTCTGACTTTTCCGTTTGTTGCTACTTTCTTTAAACTGTAGCCTTTTAATGTTGTGCCAACCATCCCGATAACGTGTGCCAACCTGTGGTGAATGATCTATTTTCATCATATCTTTATCGGTATAATGTTTATTTTGCATTTGAGACCTAAACATTGAGTCACAGCTTCTTCTCACAGCCTGTACGTGTGACGTTACTACGTAAAGAAGGAAAAACACTCGACCCAACACCTCTAAATGATCATTTCAGGCTTTACAGGGCGACTTACAGCAGGACACACTCACCTGTTTGTATTCTCCTCACTCAGTAATGCTACTTCTTTCAGTTTGAACAAAAAAAAACATACATAGTGCAGCTTTAAAGGCTGCTTTGACTGAACTAAATGCATGAAAGGTGGACTGTAATAAATTGACTGTAATAAATGACCAGAGAGTCAAAATTATATGTGAACTGTAATAACACTGTGAATGTAGCATTAACGACACAGCAATTCAGGCCCTCATATCAAAGAGAGAGAGAGAAAGGAAAAGAGCCAGAGAGATAAAGTTGGGGGGGGTCACTCTGTAATCATTTGCGGGGGCGGGACCCTTAAAGTGGCTTGACCTCAGTTGATCTTTTGACCCTTTTAACAGGCACAGATGCCATTGTATGGCTAAAGGAAATCTCAGCTTTCACTGTAGCACCCCGGCGGGTCCCTCTCAGTACTGTCCACACACAAACTGACCCACACAAAGGATGCTGTTCGTGAGCCTGAGTAAGACCCTGTGGGCTAAAGTTCAGGCCGGTCTCTCAGCAACAGATGTTCCGTCTCCATCGGCAACTTCTGTCGCCCAGTCCAAGCACCTGCCAATCAGACGGACATTCTCCGGTCTCTAGGGAAACGCTACTGGTTTAGAATGCCTCAGACAGAGATCCAACTGTCCAGCCGTACTCCAAATTAGCCTTTTCAGCCCGGCCTGAGGGCCAAAAAGCACTTTCAGAAACATCCTTTAACTCTTAGACGCCTCTCAGGCGCTACAAAAATTATGCTGTAATTTTATATCTAATCTTTCTAACATATATAAGCTTATTAAAACAACCATATGTTCTGTTTAAAGAGCAGATTCTAAACTTTTAATGCATGGCCAGTTTGTGTTTGTAAGTAAAAGAGGAGAAATTTTATTACGATTTGAATTTAAAGGGCTCATACCAAGGAAAATTTTCCTTGTTGTCTTTTTCCGATGTAGCACGTAAGCACTGCATGTATACTGTTCACTGCCCAGGCCATACAGACCATATAGGAAAACAAAGTTGCAAAAAAACACCAGTTTTGAATATACTGGTTTTGCGATGTCACAAAAAACAACACATATCACTGTTGTCGGGAGAAAACCTCGTATCTCCAAAATGAGAACTTTACAGGAGAAGGAAAAAACCTACTTTACTTTTAATGTAAGTCAATGGAACCAGACATTTTTCCAAGTCATTTTGGGCCATTTCCTTTGGTCCAAACGACAACAGACACTTTCAAATAATGTCAAAAACAGCAGTGATATGCGATATACATATGAACTTCCTATTCAGGCTACAGCAATTTAGCTCCGCCCCTTCACACTGAAGTTATAGGGAATGTTTAAGCATGGGCGGCTTTTTAAACAAGGCACAATACTGGGCAGCCAATCAGAGCAGAGCTCATTTACATATATCAGCCTTAAAGATACAGTAATAAAAAATGGCCTGTTTAATTGTAAAGGATAAAGAGAGATTTATGTAAAAATGAATTATGACTCTTTTTGGCTCATAGAACCACATAAACGTCATAAGTGGGACAGGGCCGCTTTAATGAACAGCTATTGTTGTTGAAAACCAATGAACCCAAAGCGTTTATTTGTCTGCAGAGCTGGGCGTTAAGAGATTTGAGGCAATCGACTCCAGACTCAGTGTGGATGGAACTGTAATCTTCAGTAAGAACTCAACTTACACAGCAGGATCACTAAGGTTCCTAACATAAGTTCACATTACAGGGTTGAAGGGCCACAAATGGGCTGTCTGGACTGTCTGGACTTCATCAGTCAGATCTGAGCAACTTTCATAGGTGCTTCTAGATCAGACACTGATACGGACCAGGCTGTAATGAAGATGATCGGATCAGATGGTCAGCAGAGAGTCGAACTTCAGAGTCTAGACCCAGACTCTAACCTTAGGGATTCGACCCAGACTCAAACCTCAGACTCACCCCAGACTCAAACCTCACAGACTCGACTCAGACTCAAACCTCGGAGACTTGAACCTCAGAGAATCGACCCAGACTCAAACCTCAGAGACTCGAACCTCAGAGACTCGACCAAGACTTGAACCTCAGAGACTCAACTCCGACTCAAACTTCAGAGACACGAACCTCAGAGACTCGATCCAGACTCAAACCACAGAGACACGACCCAGACTCGAACCTAAGAGACTTAACTCCGACTCGAACTTCAGAGACTCGAACCTCAAAGACTTGACCCAGACTCAAACTTCAGAGACTTGACCCAGACATGAACCTCAGAGACTCAACTCTGACTTGAACTTCAGACATTTGATCCAGACTTGAATATCAGAGACTCGAACCTCAGAGACTCAACCCAGACTCGAAGCTCTGAGACTTGAAGCTCTAAAACTCGACCCAGACTCGAACCTCTGAGGCTCGAACCTCAGAGACTCAACCCAGACTCAAAGCTCTGAGACTTGAAGCTCTGAGACTCGACCCAGACTCGAACCTCTGAGACTCGACCCAGACTCGAACCTCTGAGACTCGAACCTCAGAGACTCAATTCAGATTGCAACCTCAGAAACTCAAGACTTGACTCAGACTCTTGCATACATCATTTGTGTGAATGGAGAAAAACATTCTAGAAGAGTGTAAATTGGGGTAAACATTCTAGAATAAGTGTGGGCTACAGGACCACAACAGGGGAAGCACTGCTGTAAGGCTACCTGCTTGGCTGGAAAAAAAAAAACTGTTTCCCCCACAACACCATCTAATGCGCTCCTCAACACACGCAGGGCTTTCACTGCAGAGCTGTCACTGCTTCAGCACTTCATCATCACCATCCATCACCCTCATCAGGAGCTGAAAATGGCTCCCTCCCCTATCTGCCCCAGATCCTGTGAGCCTGGCAGACAGAGTCCCGACTGCGCAGCACGGCCACACGAAGTTAAACGCTCCTGTTTCCTTTCTGTCTTTCTCTGTTTAAGTGAGGACGGAACCCTCTGTTTACATATTTAAATCCTGATGAACTTCTATGTTTATGCATTTAAATGAGAAACCAACACTTTATTGAGAGAGTACACCTTATTTACACGGACATAAGTATTTAAATAAGGTTGGAACGATTTGTTTATGTATTTCACAGCTTCGTCTATATCCTTAAATCATAATGAAAACTTTAAGTATTTAAATGAGGATAGAATGCTTTGTTTCATGTATCTAAATGAAGATATAACACTGTCTCCTGCCTCAGTGAAGACAGAATGCTTTGTTTACGTATTTAAATGAGAACGGAACACTTTGTTTTTGTAGGCTATTTAAATGAAATCACTTTGATTAAGTATTTAAACGAAGCTGTAAATGAGAACAGAATGTTCATTTATGTTTTTAAGACAATACATTTTGCTTATGCCTTTTTAAATGTACAGAGAATATTTTATTTATGCATTTAGATGAGGATGGAATGTTTTGTTTTGTGTGTTTAAATAAAGATATATCACTTCATTTGTGTATTTATATAAACATAGGGCACTTTCTTTATGTATTTATATAAGCATAGAACACATGATTTATATATAAGAACTCTGTGTATTATATTTAGGCAGAATATTATGTTTATGTATTTAAATTTAGGCAGAATGTTATGTTTATGTATTTAAATGAGGATGGAATGTTTTGTTTTGTGTATTTAAATAAAGATATATCGCTTCATTTACGTATTTATATAAACATAGGGCACTTTGTGTATTTAAATGAGCATAGGACATTTTGTTTATATATTTAAATGAGGAAGGAACTGTTTATTTGTGTATTTACATTTAGGCAGAACTCTTTGTTGATGTATTTAAATTTAGGCAGAATGCTTTGTTTATGTATTTAGATATAACACTTCATGTACGCATTTATATAAGCCTAGGACTCTTTGTTTATGTATTTATATAAGCCTTGGACACTTCGTTTATGTATTTTATAAGTTTTGGACACTTTGTTTATGTATTTTTATAAGCTTTGGACACTTTGTTTATGTATTTATATAAGCATAGAACACATTATTTATATATAAGAACTCTTTGTGTATTGTATTTAGGCAGAATACTATGTTTATGTATTTAGACGGGGATGGAACACTTTGTTTACATATTTAAATTAGCACGGAACACTTTGTTTACGTATTTAAATGAGGATAGAACACTTTATGTATTTAATGAGCATATAAGGTTTCACGTATTTCAATAAGGATGGGACGCTTTAATTATATATTCGAATGAAGACATAACGCTCTGTTTATACATTTAAAAGACGACAGAACGCTTTGTTTAATTGTTTAAATGAGGATGGAACGCTTTACGTATTTAAATTGGGATAAAGTGCTTTGTTTACGTATTTAAATGAGGATGGAGCGCTTTGTGTGTGTATTTAAATGAAGACCGAGCGCCGTGTTTACGTATTTAAATGCAGGCTGAAGAAGGTGCGTAAGCGCCTACACGCAGTTCTACTCCCTGCTCTTGTTGTTGAACTGCGGCGGCCACCATGTGATTAAGCGCATGTTTTAGAGAAATGAGCGGACAGACTGCTGTAAAGTCCGGCGGAGGTCAGACAGAGTCTCGACTGAGAGTCTCAGTTTCAAAACGCTGTATAAAAACGCTCGCACGAGCGAGGTCAGAGGCTCGCGAGCAGAGGCTGAGAGAGAAAAGCACGTTTTCTAACCTGAGAGCTCCGCTGAAGTCTTGGAGAAGATGGCCAGGCACGTTATTCCCAAAAAGAGCGCGAGGTTTCTGCCTGAGGAGGAGGCATCCGGGCCGGACATGCTGGAGCGCGTGGGGACGGTCAGGCGGGGAAAGGCGCGAGAGGAACTGAGCTGATGCCCGAGCCCATGGCTCATTCCCGCGGACACCTCACTGAGGCTCTGGAGGAAGGCGCTGCGCGCGCGCGGGTGTGTGTGTGTGTGTGTGTGTGTTCAGCGCTGACTACCTGTTGGAGGAGACCTCCCCCTGGTCCCAAAGCCTGGAACTTTCTGAGAAGCACTTTTGTTGTTGCTTTATTTTCCTATTAACACTTTATAAGAAACCCCTACATAATCCTTCCGCTCACTGGCCACTTTACTAGAAACACTTACCTTGCATTTCCACTAAGTGGCCACTTTATTAGAAATACCTACTTTGTACTTCCACTAACTGGCCACTTTATTAGAAACACCTACCTTGTACTTCCACTAACTGGCCATTTTATTAGTAACACCTACCTTGTACTTCCATTCACTGGCCACTTTATTAGAAACACCTACCTTGTACTTCCATTCACTGAACACTTTATGAGAAACACCCCTTTGTCCTTCCACTCTCTGGCCACTTTATTAGAAACACCTACATCGTATTTCCACTCACTGGCCACTTTTTTAGAAACACCTATCTTGTACTTCCACTCACTGGCCACTTTATTAGAAGCACCTACCTTGTACTTCTACTGTCTGGCTACTTTATTAGAAACATCCACTTTGCAGTTCCACTCACTGGCCACTTTATTAGAAACACCTACGTTATGCTTCCACACACTGGCCACTTTATTAGAAACACCTACTTTGTACTTCCACTTACTGGCCACATTGTTAGAAACACCTACCTTGTGCTTCCACTCAGTGGCCACTTTATTAGAAACACCTACCTTGTACTTCCACTGACTGGCCACTTTATTAGAAACACCTACCTTGTACTTCTACTCAGTGGACACTTTATTAGAAATACCTACCTTGTACTTCCACTCAGTGGCAACTTTGTTAGACACATACCTTAAAGGTCAACTACACATGGTGTACAGTCTGTGAATTATGCCTGTGATTAGTTTGTGTGGTAGACTGCAGTTACTCACCGAACCTTAGAAGTGGGAAACACTTAACTGTTTCCTCCCCAGTGAAATCCTACAGGATGTACTATATGTGGCTAGTATTAGTTTTAAAGTATGCATTTAAAATGATTTTTAAAACACTCCCTTTTGAGTCATAACGTTTGACTTATCTTGTTCTCTCAAGGTGCTATATCCTATATTTATTTTCCCCCCTACTTTTAATGTCTGTGTGTATTTATGTACCAAAAGCAGTCATAATTCCCTTTTACATGGCCATTATATATTATAACATATACATAAGACAGCGATAAGGTAAAATTAACCAGATCATAAGAAAACAGTACATTACAAAACATAACTGCTTTGCAGTATTTAAGAAAGTGTTGTACTGGTTAAAGTCTTTAAAGAAATGTAGACATTAAATATGACATATAAACGAAGCAGTAAAAATAAATAAAAGGATAAAAATATGAAAACGTTGCACAACAAAGCACTCATTAACATCTACGTTAACCTTTTCAAAAGTAAAGACTATAGAATAGGTGGAACACATACCATCGTCTTTTGGACGACGCTGCGTGGCAACAGCGACATCTAGTGGCCGATGTTTGTTATCGCACTGAAAGCTTCACTGCGCTTTATCCTTTAGATAGTTGGAGCGAGTATATATTTCATGTAATTTGCCACTATATATTTTATGCTACATGCTTTTGTGTTACATATTTTTTATGTTTTCGGATTATTTTGTTTTTCTCATTGCACGTAAGAGAAACATAGACGAGCTGTGCCTCTCGCGGTTTGTCCCTCTCTGGCCCCCGTCCTCCACTCACGTGTTCAGCACTAAACATGGCGACGTCCTCAAGGAGAGCAGGAGGAGTGATGGGCTCAGTGCGATTATTGAGAAGTCTACAGCATCAGAATGGACGTGAGTGACTGAGGTTTAGTGCTTTTGTAGCCAATGCAGTGGTAATTATATAGAGACTGAACAGGAGACACTGAGGGAGCAGCTAATGCAGCGATATAAAGCAGCTAACATTAATAGCCTTGACCCAGCTGCATGTATATGTACGGTTTTTGCTCATTTTAATGCTCAGTTTGTTTATTTGTTTGTTTAACATATTTGAAAAAAGGTTTGGCACGTGCCACATGTCATGTTTATTTTTTCCCAGCATGTAAAATTCAGCAAATGAACAGTGATTGTCGATACGTACCTGTTTTCACTTATGAAACCAACAAAATGAGTAGGGGTACCCAAACTTTTGCACATGACGATATAACTAACTATACACAGCTTCTTTAGTTTAGACGAAAATCTGAACATATTCTGTGTTTATTTTTGTCTTGTCATACTGAATTTAGCTGCTGTATGTAAATAGGCTGAGAATGTAATGATGGAATTATATATTCTGTTTTCTTCAGGGTTGTTTTCCACCTCAGTGGCTCGGCACACTGCAGGCTCTGACGGTCAGCCTCCCAAATTCGTTCCTCCGTCAAAACCTGTCATCATCGACAAAACACAGTCACAGGCCTCACTGAGACGGTGAGATACTGACTCCTCTACAGACTGATATACACCGATCAGGCATCACATTATGACCACCTCCTTGTTTCTACGCTCATTGTCCATTTTATCAGCTCCACTTACTATATAGGTGACCTTTGTAGTTCTACAGTTACAGACTGTAGTCCATCTGTTTCTCTGATACTTTCTTAGCCCCCTTTTACCCTGTTCTTCAGTGGTCAGGACCCCCATGGAGCCCTCACAGAGCAGGTACTATTTGGGTGGTGGATCATTCTCAGCACTGCAGTAACACTGACTTGGTGGTGGTGTGTTAGTGTGTGTTGCGCTGGTCTGAGTGGATCAGACACAGCAGTGCTGCTGGAGTTTTAAAACACCTCAGTGTCACTGCTGGACTGAGAATAGTCCACCAACCAAAAATGTCCAGCCAACAGCGTCCTGTGGGCAGCGTCCTGTGACCACTGATGAAGGACTAGAGGATGACCAACACAAACTGTGCAGCAGCAGATGAGCTATTGTCTCTGACTTTACATCTACAAGGTGGACCGACAAGGTAGGAGTGTCTAATAGAGTGGACAGTGAGTGGACACAGTGTTTAAAAACTCCAGCAGCACTGCTGTGTCTGATCCATTCGTACCAGCGCAACACACACTAACACACCACCACCACATCAGTGTCACCGCAGTGCTGAGAATGATCCACCACCCAAATAGTACCTGCTCTGTGAGGGTCCATGGGGGTCCTGACCACTGAAGAACAGGGTAAAAGGGGGCTAACAAAGTATGCAGAGAAACAGATGAACTACAGTCTGTAACTGTAGAACTACAAAGTGCACCTATATAGTAAGTGGAGCTGATAAAATAGACAATGAGCGTAGAAAATATTATTCCTGATTGGTTGATTTGCATGGCTGTGGTGTGTGATTGTGTGTATTATGTATGTCTTTTTAATTGAATGGTGCCCACTAGGAGGTCTGTTATGATGGTCTGTAATGCCGACTGTGAACACTAAGAGTGTACGTTGTGATTCTGACTGTTACAGATTTCTCAGTCCGGAGTTCATCCCTCCACGTCAGCGCACGAACCCGGTGAAATTCGCCATAGAGCGCAAAGACATGATACAGAGACGCAAAGCCTTCAACATTCCTGAGTTCTACGTTGGTAAGGATCATTTTGGTGGAGCTTTGATGCTTTAATGTTAAGGTGCTGATTCAGCTACACAGTTGGATTATCATCGATTATAATAATATTTGCCCCAAAAAATTCTCTGTCCAAATTCAGATCTTTTCCAGTTACTTTTGAGTATTCAGAGCATTTTTAGTGATGATTCTGAGTCTGAATAAAACAATCAAACTGTATCATAGCGGAATTTGAGCTCAGTACTTTGACTCATTTACTGAAGAATTCTAGTCAAATTGAATTATTGTAAGATCAGAGATGTAAACCACTCTTACAGATCTGCCTGGCTGGGAGTCTCTTGTGTAGTTTTCTCTCTGCCGTTTCTGTCTGCAGGCAGTGTTTTGGCGGTCACCATGTCGGACCCCCATGCGGCCAGCAAAACGAACCGCTTTTTGGGCATCTGCATCCAGCGCTCTGGTAAAGGCCTGGGAGCCACCTTTACCCTCAGAAACATCGTCGATGGCCAGGGTGAGTTCACCGTCATTCTGTAGAAAAACCACAAAACCAGGGGATTTATTATGTTCCTTACCTCTGTACTTGTTAGAGCACCTATCCAGCAAATTTATGTCTAGTCCTGTTCATAAGTATAAGGGCTGCCCAGTACATAATCTGTTAAAGCTGCACTGTGTAATATTTGGGGATTTGGAGACCTCTCTGGTGAAAATATGCAGTTGCACACAAAGTGACTCAGAACATTTTGTGCACTTCACCCCTCGTACCACATGTAGTTGATTAGCCAATACATGTTTGGTAACTGAAGTTTGCTTGTTTAGTTCTGACCTGAAACAGTGGACAAAGTTCAGGATTCAAGGTGGCTGCTATTGTTTTTAGCTATGCTAGCACACATTTGTCCATATTTATAGATAATAGTTTGTCATACAATGTCAGAAACCACATAGGCAAGTTTACTTGAGATTGCTTAACAACTCGACTCAGTTTAAGTGTGATACAGTTAGCCTGATGCTAATTGGTGGGCTATAGGTTTCCATTACTTGTTAGTATTAGCCTCATAGCTTAGTAGTATAGAAGTAAAGAAGCAAACTTTGAACAATAAACGTGTCTCGGCTGGTCAACATATGAAGTGAAAAGGAAAACTGAAAATTAGTTTTTTTCGCCGAACTATCGCTTTAAGGCTTGTCTCATGGCCGATTGTCCATGCTACTTATTCACAGTCTGATTGATTAAATATGGGTAATATAAGCTGGCTCAGAGTCCTGATTGGCTGTCAGTCTTGGCCGCTGCACTGTTCATGCCCCGTGATTGGCTGAGTGTGTTGCGTTTGTGTTGCAGGAGTGGAGATTTGTTATGAGTTGTACAGTCCGCGGCTGAGACACATTGAGGTCCTGAAGCTGGAGAAGAGGCTGGATGATAACCTCTTGTACCTGAGAGACGCCCTGCCGGAGTACAGCACCTTCGACTTTGACATGAAACCTGTCCATCTTTCCCCCACCCAGGACGTCCCTGTCAATCAGGTGGGCATAAGCCGACACGGCTTAAGCTGAAGTATTACGAGCTGTCTTCTAGATCCCCCATGACATAAATCCTTAGGATGCCTGATCTGGACAATAGGCTTTCAGCAGAATCAGATAGTGAAATAAGCTATGGAAACCAATGAAAACAAAACAAAAGAATTCCACAAATAAAAATGAGTAAATTCACTTAAAAGTTTTGTGCTACATACATATCATCGCTGTCCAAAAAAGAAGCATCTCCATTTTTTGCAATTGTTTGAATTTTTTGCAAATTTCATGATGAATGGGTGAAAATGCTCCAAAATTGCTTCTAATAAAATCTTTTTTCAAATTTATGTTGAAAATAAAGAACGCCCTATCCTGTAAAGTCCATTTTGGAGACTTGGATTTGGGGTTTTTGGACTATTTTTTTTTTTTTTTCATTTTCCCCAATTTTCTCCCCAATTTAGTCGTCTTCAATTCCACTCACTAGTTAGGACTCCCCCGCTCACGCGATACCACCGGTGCTAGGAGGGCGAAGGCTAACACAGACTTCCTCTGAGACCTGTGAAGCGCCACCGCATCTTTTTGAACTGCCACTAATGCAACGTTATTGGACAGCTGAACTTGTAAACGATTGGCCAATTGCAAATAAACCATCGATAGTAAAAAATTCTTCAGGTTCTTTTTTGACTGGTCTTTCTATCAAGCAAAGTGAATTAACTCTGTAAAATTCCCTCTCTCTCCCTCTCCCTCTCTCTCGCTCTGCAGATAAAGGTCAGGATGAAACCTCGTCCATGGTCCAAACGCTGGGAGCGCCCCAAGTTCAACATCCAAGGGATCCGCTTTGACCAGTGTTTGACCCCTGAGCAGATGGAGCATGCTCAGAAGTGGGCGGAGCCTTGGAGACAGTACGACATGCTGAAGGAGTACGACACATCCTCCATGCAAGAGAAGATCTTGCAGGAGGTCCAAGCTGAGCTTAACAAATGAGTGACTCGTATCAAGACCCTCCGGACTGGGGAGAGACATTCACAATATTATGGGGTGTGTTCCAGCACCAGGGCTGGAAACTACAGCTCTGAAACCACCATCCAGGTCTCCACTCTGGTCCTGCAGTTCCCTTCTCAAGCCCACTTTCCCTGCTCTGTAAGACACCCTGGGGTCAGGATTTTTTAAATTGAAATTTGAGCTAAAGTTTAGGATTATACAATAGAAATGTCCTTTCGCTCTTGTTCTGTTGGAGAAGCTTGATTTAAGTTTCTTCACTAACTGAGAAATCTTGGTTTGAGGGACAGTTTTGGGGTCGTTGCTCAAAAAAAGTGATCCGTTACAGGTGACTAGTTACCTCTCTCAAAATGTAATGGGAATACATTACATATTACATATTAGCATGATTAGATGACTCAACAGATTGTTTGCTTTCTGCACTGCACACTTTCACAATCAGATTAAAGCAGTCAGCTAACGCAGGTAGCATGTGCACACACAAATTACGTAAAAGGACATTTAGGGATATGGATAATAGCTATGGGCAATATGACAATTTTATCATTATCATGATAAATTCTGTCACAATATGTTTTTCTACGCTTATCGTGGACGCTGGCTAACTACATGTTTCATTACAAAGTGCGCACAATTAGGCTTAATAGGTTTAATGAGAATTAGTGCACTGCAGTTTGTAAAATAGAATAGAATTCCTTGTAGTTGTAAACCTATTATTATTAGTAGTGTTTTGTGGTACTACAGGTTCTGTTTAATTTGTTCCAACATGTCAGAAAAAGTAAATATATATCAAAGAAGAACAAGTATCTCCAAAATAGTAACTTTACAGAAGGCAAGAACGCTCTTACCTTTCAGTGTAAGTTAATGTAAAGAGACTGTACTGCATTACCCCAACACTGTTGACAAACACCCACCTGATCCAGCTAACGCAGGGGTGTCCAGTCTCATCCGCAAAGGGCCGGTATGGCTGCAGGTTTTCATTCCAACAAAGCGGAAGCACCAATGATCAGTTGACTGATTGAACGACTGGAATCAGGTGAGCTCCTGCTTCTTCGGTCTGAAAACCTGCAGCCACTCCGGCCCTTTGCGGATAAGATTGGACACCCCTGAACAATTGAATTCACAAGGCTTTACCACGTTTAAGTGAGCGTATTAGAGCAGGGAAAATGAAATCGAAATTACATTAAAATGTATAAGGTCACAGCTGGGAACTGGTTCAGAATGAGCACTAATGTGGACTCTCGAAGATGGAGCTGTAAACTTATTGTGTGTATAAAAATACGTGTTGCTGATTGTGAAGCGGAATAAGGAATAAAGTTCATGTGTTGGCAAAATTGTATATTTTTACGTTTCTCATGTGAACATTTGTCAGTTCAGTTGACTCTAACCTTGTGTTGACTTCATGCTATATTAGGTTACTGTAATACCAGCGAATTAAACCAACCTATGAATAGTACACAGCATTCATACCTGTAATGAAATGAACCTTTTAGCCAACTGTGTCTGAACACATCGGAATCAGACCTCCCCATTTAACCCGTCCGTGCAGTGAAACACCACATACACACTAGTGAACACACACACACTAGGGGGCAGTGAGCACACTTGCCCAGAGCAGTGGGTAGCCCTATCCATGGCGCCTGGGGAGCAGTTGGGGGTTAGGTGCCTTGCTCAAGGGCACTTCAGTCACGTACTGTCAGCTGAGGGGATCGAACCTCCAGCCTAACGATAGACACTGTAACAACAACTGAATGATTGCAGTGTACAGTTACCAACCATAGTTTTAAAGACAGTACAATTACAGAATGCATTTATTGTCAGTATGAATGTGACGTACAGTTACAAACACTTTTGGCATTGATCTGACTCCAAACTACAGCCTTTGACTGTCAACACTTTCTGTTAAATGGGAGTTCTGACCATTTTTTTTTTAAATCCTGTATAACAAAGTGAGGTAAGATGTAAACAAAGTCATTCAGAGTTTAAAGTGTGAATTAAAAGTTCTTTGGAAACCTGCTGAGTGGTGGGATAGGAACCAGACATCTGAAAAGCTCTAAAAGCCCCCCTTGTTTTTGTTTTATGTTTACATTGTTTCATGATAGTTTTGCTCTATGTTTTTGATTAGAGTGTCATTTTAAAATCCGTTCATGGTAGAGAGATGCATGCAGAATCTTATAAAACCAAAGAGTCCCTAAAGAAATCGTATTTTTTCAGATTTACCACTATTTTACCATCTCATTGTGTTCACTGGTGATTTTAGATAGTGAATATAGAAGTGCTGTATTTTTACCTATTTTTTAATTATTTATTATTATTTATTCTCTGATAATCTTTAAAAAAGGCCAATATCATACTTATTTGTATTTTATTTGTTTACCTTTTGTCTTCTTTTGACAGTGTTTTAATGTAGTTCATAATTCATAGTTTATTTTTGCACAACCATTCTAACCTCGCTTTATTCCTTGGAAACAGCCTGGTTTGTTACTGTGCCTTAAAGACTGGTATATGTAAATTGCCTCTGTTCTGATTGGCCTGTGTTGTACCTCATTCACAAAGGAGCTTAAACACCCTTAATAACTTTTTTTTTAAAGTAATATTTTAACAGATTTAACCTACATGATCCACTCCATCAGTCTATCATGAGCTGAAATTGTGGTTTAAGAGCACTACACTAAATTCCATTCCCTCTGACCACAAGGGGGCAGCAGAACCCAGGGCTCTGGCCCTCATTTGAATCTCTAATTATTCTCAGCTATTGTAAACTCGTAATGACTCCAACTAGATTCCTCCTCAGAGAAACTGCTACATAAGATTGTATCTAAATCACTAACTACTCCAATAGAAACAGTAGATTTGTTATTACACTATAAAATAAATGTGTTTTGAAATTTCAGCTTTTCATTGTGGATAGGAATTCTCAGAAATCTGCTTGCTGGGTTTTTTTTTATCATTTCAAAGTGCACTCTCTCTCTCTCTCTCTCTCTCTCTCTAATACATCTGCACTCATTGGTTCAGAATGCCTGGTGCGAGTCTCATGGGAAAGGATAATCCAGATAAATCCACAGTCAGTGGGACCACATTAAAATAAGTGGTGCTGTCACAGTCACTGTGGTTTAATAAGAGGGTTTTTTTATTATCATGTACTCTAGAACTACAAACCTAGAACCACAACACACAATAGCGTTTGTCTTTAAGTCTAAACCAGGGCTGTTTATAAAGTTTATTTGTGTGTATGTATATATATGTATATGCACAGGCCATATTTGATGTGATTTTGTTTATTAGTCAATAAACAGTAAATAGCATGTATATATATATATATATATATATATATATATATATATATATATATGTGTGTGTGTGTGTGTGTGTGTGTTTGTCTCTTATATATACGTTTTATAAAATAAAATATATAAAACGTTACTGTTTATTTGCTAAATATTACATATGTGTCGAAAAGAAACCAGAAGTCTAATAGAAAATAGAAAATTACAGTTACTACACTGAATAAATACTGAACATTTATTTAATTGTTTATTTATTCAGTCCTGTGCTCCGTCTCTTAGCTGTCAATCAATCCAGCTGTTGCGCTGCGGCCCCGCCCACTTACCCTCTCCGGCCACGCCCACTTTCTAGTGACGTCACTGCGCTGGCACTTGTGGTAAAATACAGCAGCAGCAGCAGCAGCCGAGCACCTGGACGCGGAAAGCCCATCTCTGTTCTTTCGCCGTATCAGGAGGCGGTCTATCCTCTTTTCTCCTTCTTCCTTACGGTAAGAAACGATCGCTACGGTCTTCTCACGCTTCTCTTTAACCCGCCTCCTGTTCAGCGTATTAAAATATGTGCGATAGATCTGCTTATTCTGTCTTTCTTATTCTCCTTATGAGCGATAGGAGGGTTTTCACTGGACCTGTCTTAAGCCATCAGCGTTTGCTAGGCTAAGTTTTCACAGACAGAGAGAGTGAGAGAGAGAGAGAGAGAGAGAAGAGAGAGAGAGAGAGAAGAGCACATGGGGAACAACAAAAGCTCGAAACCTAAAGCCAGCGAAAGAAAAGCACTTGACCCCCTCCCTCCTTCTCCTTCACTGCTGTTGTTTTCGGCTCCATCCTAACAGGACTGGCTGTGCAGGTTAAAACCCTTACATCCTTTATTTCACTGCAACACTACACCTTTGGCATTTGGAGATTTCCCTTTTGGGGGGAATGCTACACCTGTCCTGGTCAGCTTTGGGCACCTGCTGTAATCCGGCCAGGCTATCTGATGACTGATCATTCAGAGGGATGACAATATTAGTCTGCTTTAACCTGCAGTTTCCCAGTAGGGCTGTGAAATAGATGCTACTTTTCTAGGTTGCTGTCCTTTTGTTAAGGCGGACCTCAAAGTGCTTCTTTCTCACTGTGGGTTCAAACCCAGTTCAGCCTGTTTGACAGTGTTAAATGCCTTTGGATCAGTTTCCCAAACCCAGATTAAGCCCAGACCTGGACTAAGTGTGTTTTTTTAAAGGTATAGTACACTGAAAAACATCTAATTCCACCTTAACACGAATGTGGACATATTTGGAGTCTGAAGTTTGCTTCTTTAGTCTTGCAGTGGAGCAACGAGACTAATGGACAACTGGCGTCAAGAGTATTAACAGCCTCTACTGCTTCTACTAGGTGTTGGAACATTGCTGTGAGGATTTGATTGAGCCTTAGTGAGGTCAGGTACTGATGTTGGATGGTCTGTTTTGGATCACTCCAGCTCACTCCACACTCCAGAGACCACAGCTCCACCACTTCACAGCCCAATGATGGGGGCTTTACATCCCCCTAGCCCACGCTTGGCACCGAGCATGGTGACCTTAGGCTTGTCCCATTCAGTTGGTCACTGCTTTTCACAGCTGTGTGTGCACAACTGACTACACGTGTCACTGATTGGTGCACTTCGAAGTAGCTGAATTCACTAATTAGAAGGGCTGTCCGGATACTTTTGGACATCTAGTGTACCAAAACAGCAATCGATCTGTTGTATTACCTTCGTAGTCCAGTTCAGAAAGCCATCCTTTTGAGTTTAGCTGAGTTGATATTCTTACGTTATTGATCAGTCTGGGTAGGTTAAGTGTGGTGTTGAGGCAGTAGTGACCTCTGTGCATGCTGGACGTCTGGTGTGTGCTGTGATTGTGCTGCAGACCTGAATCTGATACTTTGAGTGCTGTGTGCTTCTCTTGGCTTTACTTCTCTTCACACTGCTGATTCAGGCCTCTGCTCAGACTGACTGACTGATACAGTGACACTGCAGCAGGTAGCTGCTGCCAGCTGAGACAGTCCTGTTATATCTGTCCCATCTCTGTGTAGAGAAGTAAGAGTAGTACAAAGCTAATAATAATATCAATATCATTATCAATATCAATATCAATAATGATGATAGTATTAGAAGTACTAATACAAATAATGCTACTAATAATGTTATTGATCTAAACCTTTTAATTGTTTATCATTATGTAAATGGATTATCATTTGTTTATAATGTATTTTAAACCAACATAAAATTAAATAATAATAATAATAATAATAATAATGAAGCATTATTATTAATAATACATGAAGCATTATTATTTATATTATTATTAACATTATTTATATACATATTTATTATTATGTATTGATATAAAAATATTAATTACTTGGTATTATTATGTATTATATAACATAGATTTTATATAATACAAAATACATACATAATACATTATGTACATTTATTATTTACATGAGAAAAATGTAATAATAAATTACAAAATAAAAAATAAATATAAACATATAAAACATAATTTTATGTGTGATACAAATTATATGTACTTATGATATATAAATATAATCAATATTAATAGAACTAATGGTGAATGCACTTCATTGTTATTATTATTATTATTATAAACATTATTCTTATATAAATATTTATTAGTGTGACTGTTATAATTTGTTATTTATTACTATATTATTCAATAAAACGTGATAATTTCAGAGTATTTTTACAAAGTGAAAACTGAAACAGGCGATACAGACAAAATAACAAAGGAGAAAATGACTGACAGACAATGACAATAACATTTATATTAAGATATTAAGATCCAAATGGAGAGCAAAAGGAAATCATAAATGAAAATAGAAGATAGTGACCTCTAACTGTAGGAGGGCCCTGATCTTATGTAAAAGCAGTGCTGATAAGTGTGTGATATCTGTGGTGATGACGGGTAAAGGATGGAGCGTAGCTGTATCTGTAGCAGGCAACTGATATTACTGTCTGCTTCAGCTCCTCAGGCTGTGTAAATGGGCCACGCCGGCCAGGCCCGTAAATCCGC